AGCAGCTTGTGAGCAATTATTCATACAATATGTCCCGCTTCCTTCCTCCAAGCCTTTGGCAATCAGAGATGCCCAGCCACCCGAAAGGCTAAAGCCCTTCTTAAACAGGTGACATTTCTAATTCGACCTTAACTGAATTAATTGCATCCTTCCGCCATTAGAGCAGCCGGAAGTTGGCCAAAAGCAAATGGCTTAAGGTCCCGTCGCTGCCGCTTGTCCTTGGTCCTTTTTGTTTATCGCACGGCTTGATTAGCAAAAGGATCTTCCAAGGTAGCGGAAGCAGCCAACAGGTGGTTGGCAGAAAACGTTAATACAAGCTGATTAAATTAATTCTGGCCGTGTTTAAAGTCAAAAGGACAGAATTCAGCGCTGCCTCCCTCCTTCTTCCACAAAATGCCACGAATGGTGGCACCATTTGGCCATGACAGGTTAACCAGGCTGTCGCATTGGGTCCTGGCAATGACATTGCCACTTAATGCCCCATTGTTTAGCCGCAGAAATCTGCCAAACACGCCACGCGCAGTTGCACGTAGCAAAAATGACATTAAAGCGAATAAAAGCTTGTTTTTAAAAAGGTAATTTAAATATAAATTAATTCAGGTCTTACAAAGTGGCATTTCATTTTTGTATTTTTTTTACCTTCTGCAGTATATTGGTATTGGTATTGTATTTATTTGTATATCCTTTGCATTCTTTGTTTTTTTTCCCATGTAACCAAAATGGCAGTTCAATCCAGTCCAGATCCAGAAAATTACGCGGCAAAAATTAGCAAGGACATGTTTGTTTGCACATGGCAGGTTAAAATATTTGACATTTGGTTTCCTCCCAAACAAGGACGAGGAAATGTAATTTGATTAAATCCTAATAAATATGGATAATTTATGGCCTCTCCACCAAGGTCCATCAGAGCCACTCAGTCAGGATGAGTGCCAGAAAGTAGAGTCTATTTGTTGCGCGTTCAACTTTGTTGCTGCGATTGATTGCATAACAATAAATTATGCAACGCACCATGATGCCACAAGCTGTTGCTTCTGCTCCTTCTCCTTCAAGCGATGTTGATGGTATCGGCGAATGGAGGTCCTGGACAAGGACCAGTCCGCCTGCCATTCACTTTTAAGTTTCAAGTGCAGCTACTCCAGCTGCTGATGTTGCTGTTGCTGCGGGTGAGTGCTTTTAATATTCATCTAATGCACTCGACGTGCTGCTGGTATCGTGCTTGGTATCGAGTTTATTGGGACTTTTCAGTGTTAGCTGATTTGCAAAATGTTGCAAAAAATATGGATGGCAGCTCATTAAAAATAAACAACGTAACCGCTCAAGAAATAGGTTTAAGAAGTATCCTTTTCATTGATGAAAATTCCATGGAATACATAAACTAGAAAGATGCTTTTTCAGAAATACGTACATATTACCAATTATTGAGAATAACATGTTTCTATATCGGTGACAGGGTATCTCGATTAACTGAAAGCAATCCACCCACCTACATATCCTGCATTAGCATCATTTTCTTGGCCAACTCTGCTTTCCATGGCAACTTGCTGTTGTTTCGACGTTGGTGTTGCATGCACGTCTGCAGCAGGCAGCTGCTGCAATTGAAAGCCGCCCCACGCGCTGCGATAATGATGCGGGGCTGAGTGGGTGAGTGCGTGTGTGTGGGTTAAGTGAGTGTTGCCACCTGCACCTGGCTGTATGCTGTTCAGTGCCGGCTCAACTTAGATCATAGGTATGGCAACGGGAACTTCAGAATCTCAGAAATACTTTTCATATCCTAGTTTTTCTAATGCAGCTCAGTGGCCCACATGACGTATACGCAATGTGGACTGCAGAAGTGCTTTAACTTTTAGAATTGAAATAAAAGATGCTATCAGGGTGATTAAACCTATGTTATTTATAGACCGGGTACAGCCATCGATAGGATAGATATCGGGGCTTGATTGATTGATTTTGTGCCTTTGTCATCTCGACATGTGAACGACATGCTGTCTGACTCTCGACTGACGACTTCGTCAGGCTTCGAAGCCACAAAAGCCAGACAACGTGTCCTGTGTTGCGGTTTTGTCCTGGCTCTAATTGCGCTAATAAGGCGCTGGTAATTATAATTTAATAACATCTCTGCCACATCATCTCCCCCTTGCAGCACGGCATTTGAGAGCTCGTGTTTGCCATTAGAGTTCTCTGTGTGTGCAATTAACAGCTTGGGGCACAAGGACGAAGACTGGCAAATAAAAATTGATTTATGCCGCCTTCAAAAAAAAGGTGCAGAGTGGCAGAGTGGCAGGAGCAGAGCTAACCAATTAAATTGTAAGTCAAACAGTTCCCGGCCAAGTTCATGCAGTTGAGAATTAATTTGATTACAACCAGAGCCGGAGAGCCGAGTAAACATCGTCTCTGATTGCCTGAATAAGCAATGAGAAAATAAGCTGAAGCCTGCTCAATGGGTTAATGTGCCCCACAGAGGTCCTTGGAACAGGAACGCAACGGAACTCCAGCTTCTGGTATGGCTCCGACAGGTGTTGGCAAGTACGGAGGAATAAGGAGAAAAGGACTCTTCCTCGTCGTCGTCAGTTGTTTATTAATAAACAAATTACGTAATTAATAACACACGCTGAGCGCTCAGCTGGGCGCAAAATGTAACACTTGGTGCAGCATCCTTGGCTAAATTAAGAGTCCAGTTGCAGCAGCTGAAGCTTCGTGCCGCAAATTTATGACAGGAATGGGATGCGTACCCCGGGGGCTTCTTGTGCAGCCATAAATGGCTGAGTGAATTGCTTTTCGAGTGGGCCTAGAGTGGATGGCCAAAAGTGGCCAGGACACACCAAAATGTGTATGGAGGCCAAATGCACTTCGCTCCGGCTGTTGACTTCATTTTCTGTATATTTTCCTTCTACTTTTCCTTCTACCTCCCACTCCCCAAAATGGAAATCGAGTCAGGAACTGGTGGCGGGGGCTGAACTGAAATGTATAAAATTGTGCCAGCTAGGCAGAATCCTGGCTGCTGCTACGCTCCTTCCGTTGTCTTGTGCGCTCACACGGAAAAGCAGACAAAATGTATCTGTGACAGCGCAACCAGAAATCCAGGATAACCGAGCGAAGACGACAAACGAATATTTATTACAGGTGTTTGCCTTTGACTGACAGAAGGCGCAATCTGGCGCACAAGCCAGCCGGGCCAGGAGCTTAGTTTCGGGCATTTTGCCAAACGAAGTCCCTTGAAAACTTGGATGCTTCGGAGCGACTTTAAGGCGAGCGTGGAAAGCGAATTCTTTTGTTCGATTGTGCCTGCAAATTGATTTGCAATCATCTGAAAAGGGAGAGACTATCCTTTATCTGGGCCAGCCTTGCCCCGGCCCAGACGAAAGCAATTCCTTAAATCCGATTTGGGTACAAGATGCGAAATACATGATGCAAAACCCAACCGGAATTCCTGGAAAATCCAACAGCGAATGCAGAATATAATATGGCTAAAAATAAGAAACATAATAACAGAAGCCACACCACAGGGCTTTCATTCATGAGACTGTGATTCCGGCCAAGATTTCTTGCCAACTTGTTGTTCGTGCTATTTTTACTACGACAGTCACTTAGTTGCGAAAAATATGCAGAATTGCATTGTCTTTTTATATTTTTTATATTCTTCTCCGAGGAGACAATCCCAGCGCGTCCAAGTGGATTTGGCTGGTTAGGTATGCAGATTCATGTACTGCGGACACCGAAAGCCGAGTGTCCTTTACCTGGCATAGTGGCTTCCTGGCAAGATTTATTGCCTGACGTGAATTGGCAGCATCAGATTCAAATTCAGATTCAGTTCCCGTCCCATCAGAGCCAAAAAATAAGGACTGCCGAAAGGATAGCACCATCATCATCCTGATGGCGGTCATTTTGATTAGAAGCCCCGGCGGTTTGCCACAGACAGTTAATGGCAGGATGTGGTGGATGTGTTAGGGATCAAGCACCCAGGGAGGGGATGTGTTCATGTGCTCGTGATATGTAATTAATTTTTGGGCAACATCTGTTTATCCTAATTAGAGGCGAGCGCATGCATGCCGGCCGGCCAAGAGGGAGGCGGGCCCGGGGCGGTTTCTTTTCATTTATCATTATTACAGTGCTAGCCCAAAACAGGCCAAAGGTCAACAAGATAAAAGGGCATGGCTTGACGGGCCACAGAGGGTGTGGGCGGTGAGTCGATTAAGCGAACAGAAATCAAGTGAGTAATGGCCGAAACAGCTCTTGCATGGCAATTGACCGCCTACCCGTTTCCCGCTCCTCGTTGCTCTTCAGATGCCCATAATGAGTTGCCAATCGGGTATTCACTAAGCCAAAACTTAAAAAAAAAATGGGATAAAATGGTTAAAAGCAATCACCGCCTCCCCAGCTCCTAGGCTCCGAAGTGGGAGGCGGGAATCGAAATTTGGCAAATTGAAGTTTCTCGAACTTTGTCATAAAATGAAATTGCAAGAAAAATCAACGGATAGGATAATCAGAATAAGGACGAGCGGATGCCCCATCAAAAAAGGGCCATACTATGTACATTTTTATGTGTATATGTATGTGAGGCAGAGTCGGAGTGTCCTTTTTCAGCCGTCCATCCTTTTCCGACACGAATTTACCAATTTATTATGCGTGGTTTCTTTTATTTGGCCAACTGGCTGACTGTCTCTCTGACTGACTGACTCTCTCACTCCCCCTTAAGGTTAACAAGCAAGAAATGTCGCCAATCAAAGGGAATATCTCAAGCCTCATGCCGTTAGCTGCAGGCAAATGCAGATTAAGGGAATCAAAAGCTTATAATTAATCAGATTTGCCATTAAGTTTGAGAAATCGCATGCGATTTTCTACTGTTGCTTCTGCTACAAAAAAGGTCTGCCTCCGTTTCTGAGCTGTGTTTTACGAGACAACTGTTCCCAGTTCCCAATGCCACTGTTCCGGCTGTTCTACTGCCACTGTTCTCGGGGGGCCTGTGAGCCAACTGTTGGCGCTTTTGGTTGCCAATTCGTTTTGAAAATTCTGCCGCGTCGGTCGTGGTTCGAAGGCGCACGTAACGGTACTTGCCGACGGCGCCAGTTGAGCATAACGGTAATTCTGAGTGGGAGTGCAAGAGTGTGTCTGTGATAGCAAGTGCAAGTGCGAGTGGGTACGAACGTGTGTCGTCGTGATCGCCGGGAGTCGCAACAGCAGCTGTTTCCGCCATTTTCCAAATGCATTTTCAGTTCCTGTTGAGTCCTTGCGCTGATTAAAAGGATAACTGCGAGAGCAACTCGAAACCAAGCAGTACAAGTACTACTCGCATGACAAGTTTCATCATTGATATTTAAAACTGGCGCTCGACACAGCTACGTGCTCTAAGCCAAAAATACACAAAAAAAGCCCAATAAAAGAAACAAAAACAGCTACTTAGTGTAAATAATATTGTTCGCAACAAAAAACACAAAACGCGAGTGCATTTCGTTATGAATTCTCGGATGCAAGACGAGACGAGTGTGAATGTGTTTTATGTGATTTTATAGTGTTTTCTTAGGGCCCTGGCTGAGAAATTCCTTATTTCGCAAATTTGCAATTTCCCTCATTAGCAAACCATTCTCTGCCCTGTCAAAGCCAAATAGCAAAAACACACACAATGAAAATAGAAACCGCTTTGACAAACTGCAATTTTCATAATTGTTCCGCTGTCAGAGTGGACATATGCAAAAATAAACATATCTGTTTATAGATGCATCCGAAAACATGATGTCAGCCAGACACAATTCAATTTCTTTGGGTTTCATTCTCATTTTTAGCAGGGATTTAGTCTGTTTTTGTGTGTTGTGTTTTTGCCTTGCAATGACAGCAAATAATTGTTTTGCCATAAATTGCCAGCTCACATTTTGTTGCCAAATCATAGGCCATCGACAAATAAAACATATTTCAATCAAATTCCAGCGCAAACAAACTATTAATTTTGCAAGCCCGGCTTAGCAACGCCCAATCGAAAAGATCAACAGACAACTCTGAACAGACTGCAGTATGGAGATTTTGGCCAAAATGCGTGCAATTACTCAACGCATGACAACAAATTAATTGGCCAGAAGAGACTGAGAGCGAGAACGAAAACGAGAGCGACGAACACAACCCGCGGCAACAAGTGGGGAGGCCCACAAAAATTATTGCAATCCGGCGAGCCGGTTATCACGCCTGCAAGTGCATCGAAATAAAAAAAAAAACACAAAAAAATAAATAAATACAAAAAATAAAAACCAACAACAATTGCGGCAAAAACTTGACCGATTTTCCGAGCCATTTGGCGACGGGCCGCCTGCTAATCTCGCCCAGAAAACTCGGCTCACAATCGACGTTGTGATGATTTATGCAGGTGAGTCTGCTGGAGCTAAATGCTCTATTTGAATATAATATGATCAGCTTTTAAATTTGGCTACAGATTAAAAACTAGATTAATATTAAAACTTATATATGTACATATATCTTAGTTATTGGAGATCATGTTAAAGTTCATTTTGGGACTTATTTCAGAAAATATTTTCAAAGAACTTTCTTTCTTAAAGAATCATTTAAGAATTAATCAGAATAGAGTTCAGTGGTCTTCCTTTTGATGATAGAAACTTTTTTAAAGAAACTCAAAGCCTTCCTGATTTCCTAATTTTATTTTGACCGATTCCTGGATCGATTTCAGCGGACAACCCCAAGCACTGGTTTCAGTATTGAAAGCAAGCTTTATTGCCAAACGAAAAGGGCTATAAATCCAGAGACTCAGTTAATTACAAACCCATATCAACATCCATGAAGGCGACGACGTAATTAGCCAGAAGGGGCCGGGGAAGGCGCGTGGCATACAAATTACGAAGCAAAACGGAAAAATTCGTCAAGTGTTTTGTGCATTTTTGCGGGTTTTGCCTTCTTTTGTTATATTTATATATATATGTTATTTTTTTCACACGGAGCTTAGCACGTGCCCCTCCGCATTCGGTTACAGATTCTGTTTATTCACTTTCGGTAGCCTAATTAACTAAATTGGTTGGCTTGTTGACAATGGAGACTGAAGTACTTGGCCAGAGAGTTCGGGCCATCTTCCCTTTTATTCCAGCCGGGCCAGGCCCTTCACGGCATAGTGTGAAGCTTTGCAGACACAAAGGCCAGTTGACAGGTGAAACGGGGCCAAACAATGGAAATTGTTTTGACAGGTCCTCCGAGAAAGGCCGAGAAACGGCCCAATAATGTGGACAGATGGGTAGGGCAGTCGGAGGGCTGGGCTGTCAGGTCGGACATGCGACGAGGCAAATGTAGCAATAAATTAGCTTTTTAAATCTATCCTAATTCATTTTAACTTAAATTGAGAAATACAGCAGACCCTTTGTCTTTTATTTGGCGACACTCAAGTTGAGTTACGATTATATGTGACTGCAGTCACGATTCTCTGACATTCATTACTGCAGCTAAGGGTTCGGCTGATAACATATCAAGGTGGAAAGTTTTCTTCTTTACCCTGAAAAAGGTTGAAATACCTTACACTAATTTGAACAAAAATAAACTATATTTTATTGGTTGTAGACTCCTTAAAATGTATTACTTTTTTGGTCTCAATGACAGAATATTTTATTCTTTGCCTATGTAGTCCAGAAAGCCCTTCTAAACATGCTATTTCCATATGAGTAATACCTTTAATGCCTTAATACCTTTCAATTTGTTACAGTAAAAATTATCAAAATTTGGTCATTTTAAATTCAAGATAATTCAAAATAGTATTAGAAATATAACAATTTAAAAGTTATTTTAGGTTTTGAGGTAATCACGTTTGGGCCAACATTTTTTCGAGGCCTGACCAAACATGGTACGAAATCCAAGCCTAACATAATTCTGGGTTTTGTTCAGCACTCTGTAAAGGCATTCAAATTGCTTCCTTGTCCAGAGAAAATAACAATGCCAACCTACGTGCATAAGCCATCGAAACCCGAGATTCTTTCGCCCTGTCGAACACAAAAGAGCGTCAACATAGAATTGTGCAACAAGCAGAGCAGGGCTGAGCAAATTACTTGCCACTTGGGTCAGGGGAGAGCTTAACTTTACAAACAAAAGGAAAACACAAACACAATCGGATGGTTTTAATGGAAGGTATGGGACTGGGGGGCAAGCCCACACGTACCTTGAAATAAAACAAACCAAACCAGTTGAAATATATTAATGGGGCGGGCATGAAATTGTTTTAGGTGTTTGCTGCCACTGTGTTGGCATTAAACTTGGCATTAAATAACAATAACTCGGCAATAAAATGGGACGTGCGGGGTAATATGCAGAAACAACCCTTTCACTTTCACTTCCACTTTCACTTTTGGACTGTTCTTTTTGTTTTTGCTTTTGTTTTCGCAGTCCTGCCCCTATTTTTGCGCCTCCTTGCAGCTTTATTGCGAAGTTCTCACCTCGCTACCTGCTGGCACACGCGTCGTATGCGCAATGAGGCAAGAGACGGCCCATGTAACGACAAGAAAACAATGGCAGACACACGATATTGCGTATACGACGTGTGGACCGACACCTTACCAAACAAAAAAGAAGCAAGAAAATGTCTGTGAGAGCGTGCGAGACTCTTTGAATGGAAAGTATCTGCTTAATGTGTTTAACACTCAGCGAGCACTTTTTATGACGCCTCCATGAAAATGTTCATCTTTGGCAATGCTTTTTTTTCGTTTTGTGTTGTTTTTATTATTTGGCTCCTTGGGGGCAATGATTAAGTTTTGTTGCTTAGGTGGATGGCAATCAAATTCTCCATGGCGAGATCTCGTAAAAGTTTTGATTGACACGCAGTGGCCTGCAAATTAACAGCTCATTGCAATGCAGCCACAAAGTGAAAGCCAAATGAAGCATGAAGGGAGCAGGGACCCGGGAGCAGATACCCGAGGGCAGGGTGACTGGAACGGAAATGAGTTCACTGCTCGTGGCAGGCTTAGCTCTTGAAAAATCACCTAATTCATTTAAATAAGCACGAAAAGCACGAAAATGTCGGCCCCGAGAGCGGAGAGCCAAGAGCAAGGAAACGCTAGCAAGTCCATTTGCTAAAAAAGGGACGCTTGGCCTTGCCATCTTAGGCTTGGCTTTTATCTGTGGAAGTGCCAACGAGGCGCGGCGAGGCGATGCGGGCGAGGCTAGGAGTCGACAAACTAATTTAAAAATCCACTTGCTAAGCGTTTCCCACCTCCACGAAGGATGCCTTCCTTTATGGTCCATCGACCGGAGAGGCCACTCCACTCTCCCGGGGGGGGCTAGGCTATTTATTTTTTCATTCCCTGCCTTTTATGATGATTTTGCACTGCGTGGAAATAGTAGAGCAAACATTTTAGCCCCCAAGTGTTTAAATATAAAACGGAAATGAGCTTTACTCCAGGACCTCGGGCACTACGGTTCTCCGGTTCTCCGGCTCTTGAGCTCTCCAGTTCTCAAGTTCTTCAATTCTCTGGCCCGGTTTTCTGTTCCTTTTCCAATGAGACGTGCCAAATGAACTGAAGGCTCGCAAAAAAGTTTCTGGGCAAGAAAGTTGGCCGAGGGAAATGCTAATTAATGACTGCAACTTTCTTCGCCAGACACTTTTGAATTAATTGCACACCTCCATACCTCCACAGAGGCTATGCCTCCATACAAGCCAGTTCATTTCGTTGGCCCTGCTATTTTTATTGCCTCTCATCTGACATTCGAGCGAAAAGCCAGACACGAGCCATGTTTGGGATACCAACGCCCCATTCCGCGCCAGAATAGTACTGATTGTGAACCAAACCAGACGATAATAAAATTGTATTTGCGATTGCTCGATTGCTGAATTGCAATGAATGCAAAATGAAATACATATACATACGTCGGAGAATCCGACTCCTCGGATATGTAAAAGAAATGCAATTTATGGATTTGATTTCAATTGTTTTGTCATTTTGATTGGCAGCCCGAATTGGCAACACAACCCATGGTATGCACTCATGGCAGATCCGACTGTCAGTTTTCCAGCCGTTGGCTGACAGGGCCAGACTCTTGTTCTCAGTCTTGGCCCGAAATCAATTTGTTTGATGCCAAATTAGTCGTGAGTAAACTTTAACCCCCGCTCGGTGTTGACAATGGGGAATTGAATGAATTGAAAATCGAATTTGTTTCCTGGATGGGTGTGCGAATAGTTAATTAATCTAATTTGCAGCTTGCTTTGTTTGCCATTACGTGCGTGTTGGCCCTAACTCCCCTTCTGCCTCCAGCCCAAACGCAAACAAACCTGCCTCTGTGCAACCGTTCATGCATTCACGATTGTGACATTCATTAGTTAATTGATCAAGCGTGGCGAAATGTGCCACTCTTGGGGCTTTTCAGTTCATTCAAGTAGTTTTCGGTCAGTGAAAGTTTGCTTTTCAGCCATGAAAATTATTTTGCGACCAACACGAATTATATGTCCCAACAAAAAAGCAAAAAGCTGAATTGCAAAGGCTACAAAAAAAGGAGGAGAATTCAGATGTGCAGAAGCGAACATAATGCGACAGTAGTAGAGATAGTCAGACGCAGGCTTGAATGGCGAAATGTGCGATGCGAGGATGCGAGCCATATACTATTGTATATCCTGCTCACATATGGCAGGACGATTCCAGCGAGAGTGTCTGCAAACAGAAAGCCAAAGTGCCCAAAGCGTTTTCACAGTCAATTTTGTATGTAAAGGCGAAGACAAGACAACGCCTGACACGTTTGGGCTAGGCAGAGGCTTGCTTCTGGCCGGGATTGGGCTGGCTGGCTTATGTTAGTGTAGATTTTTATACATTCGTTGTGCCTGGCACATAAAACCCTTTGTTGGCAAACCCGAGTGGATGTGTGCGTATTCGGTGTCTGCATTCAGGACGGCAATAAGCATGAAAGCCATTAAATTCACAGACACACACGAAACTGTGGCCATAGTTGAAGTGGTCTTGCCTCGTAAAAACCTTTAAAATGGCACAAAATTAAATCAAATATATAAAATGAAACTTTTTAGTACCGAGCCATTTTAAAGCCTTTTTGGACTAAAACATATCCTCGCATTAAACACGAAATCCATTAACAAAGATACGAAATTCGAAATGAAAATGTGATTACGTTCCAAAAATAGATTATTTCCGAAAGCAGATTTATTTTAATTCCCGGAACATTAATATAATCCTCTGCCTTAAAGCCCTCAAACACAATTACTTGGAAAAAATCAACAAACCCGATATCCCCTTAAAGCATTTCAATTATTTTCAACATATTCACGGATATGACGGGCCACAAATAAATACGTTAAAGTAAATCCCATTTGGCAGACAAAAACACTGGCCTGGGTAAACAAGTTGCAAGTTTTTACCATAAAAGAATCACAATTTGTGTAAAAAACGAGGTAAAAATAGAGAAATGTGAGGCCCAGAAAAGCAAATGTAATGACACTTAAGTGGCCCTGAATCTCTATCTTTTTGCAGTCGACTGATTTTGACTTGTTTTTGGCGGTGACTTGGTGGAATATGACGCATGTGGTCTCATTATAAATGTTTTAGCGATTTCTTTCAGCGACTATTTGAAAGTTACAACACTTATCAGGAGCCAGGTATTCATATCCGGTTGCTCAAATTAATGGTACTTTAGTGCTTGTGCTTTCTGGGAACGCAATCCCAACTAATCCCGCTGGAGAAATTAAGCCTTTCATGTCGGTGGTGCGCCCTTTTGACGCATTTGGCAGACAACTAATTAGTTGGCACAGCCAGACCATAAAACTATAATAAACGGTTTTGCCTCTAATTTTGCAGAAGCGGCTAAAAGGATAAAAGTCGACTCTGCTCATGACATGCAGTATGCACACGTTGAGCTCCCCAAGCGGGGTCTTGATTTAATTTAGCGTGTGCACAGGTACAAATGATAAACGGAATTATTATGCAAATGCTTGTTAACTTAAATATTGACATTTTTGTGCTATTTAATCACACGGCTTTATGGGAGGGATATGGCTTAAAAATGAATCAATGCTGTCGTGTCTGGCAGTCGTAAGAGGGCCAGTATGAATGTTATTTCTTAATAGGTGTCCCCTCTAGATGGATCCTGGGTGTGCCCTGGCCGTCAAAATGAATAAAAATTAGCCCGGAATAGGGCGAGCGAATGCTGAATGTCATTAAATACGAATTATGGTTATTAGCGAACTTCGGGCCAAATAGGCTGGTCCTGACAATGATTTGACCTTCTTGGGCCAAAACGCGCAGAAAATTTAAATGACGCATTGGATCCTGGAGAGGGGATTATATATTTTTTATACACAGAAGTATATATCCAACTGCTTGACCAGAAGAGTGATTTGCAGATATTTCGGGAACGTGGCCTTATTATAATATTCCCATTAAATATGCGTGAACGCGCCAGGAGCGTTCCGCCCTCGACTTTGCAACGCTGACAGCCGCTTCGGTTCAGCCACCTCGGACAAGTTATTAAACATTGATTACCTATCGATTTTATTTCCATACTCTCTTTTTTTTGTGGGATTTGAATCTCCCATTGTGGGGGTGTGGGTGTTTGAAATGGAAAAGCAGAAGGTGCCAGAAAATGCAAATTACCTGTGAAAATGCAATTTCTCATCTTTTCACAGTTGTGGCCACGCAGTTTGACATTTAATTTTCAGAAAATCGGACCTCGTAGTCCTTGAAGGGCATCTGGAAAATCTCTTCCTGTCCGTTGGACTCAGTCGGAGAAAAAGTGACAGCCTGTGAAATGAGAGTGGCGCATATCCAAATGAATAAATTGAAGATAAAGGCTATCAGGTGGGCTAGGCCTCGGGGATAATGGAAGTTTCGCCTGCCATTCGGCGGAAGCTGCAGATCCTCTCAATCCAAATCGAGTTATTTGTCAGTTACTTGCTAACAACTTACTTATTTATTTATGTTCTGCACAACTTTTCAACCAAAGTCGGGCCCTGAAAAGTTCCATCCACTCTGGCATAACTTTCCGGTGAGGCAATTAGCAAATTCTGATAGCTTTTGTCAGCTAACAATGCAATCTGGCGACATTTCAGAGAAAAGCGATTGGATTTATTGATTGTCATCCAAGTGGCTGCCAGAACTTTGAAACTCACACTGTATTCCATAAAATAAAATGTATCAACTGACAAGTTGACACTCCATGGCAAATATTGCGTATACGCCACGTGATTCATAAAAGTCCTAACTGAATCTATTTCTTGTTATTCTTTTCAGTTTATTGGGAATGCACAAATAATTGACAACCGAGTGTTTGTTTGAAATGTAAGCCACGACGCGTGCAAACAACACTGTAAACAGTAAACATAATATTGAGAATCTCGATTTGACTATTCGTGGCACAGCCAACAGGCAGCCAGGCAGTGAGTCAGTGAGGCAGACGTGTGGCATATTGACACTGACCCCCTACAGGAACACAGAGAGCGAGTGCCCCACCGATTTGCTGTTCGGGGTCTGGATGGAGGCAACTCCCAGGTGCCGGGGCCCCCGAGACGCGCACGGTTCAACTGAAGCGGCATCGGAAGTGGCGGCATCGGCATTGGCATCAGCATCGTCAACGGTATCAATATCGGTATTGGCAACGGTATCACAGCAACCACAGCATCAACACTGGCTGCCACATCAACAACATGGCCATAAAGCAACAGCAACGAACAAACTGTAATTCATGGTTAAAATTGCCCAACAAACTGCTGATATTGGTAAGTGGCAGGGTGGCAGAATTCCATGGAAAGAGCTTTATTAATATAAGGTCTTGATTATGACTTTGTTTTCCTAAAAATACATTTTTGCCCGGTAAGGTTTTTAGTTAACTTTTGTATTAAGCAAGTCGTATTTTCCTTAAAGAGTTAGAGAAAATATCCTAAATTCTAACGTTCTAGGTCGTAGAAATCCGATTCCCCCGACAGCCGAGGAAAAAAGAGCAATCAATCAAAAAATTTGCCTGCGACTCTATTTGTTCAAAGGACTCGTGAGGAATGGAATGCATGTCGTGCACAATTAGTCAAGCTCGTTGTAGAAGTTGTGCTGTGTGTTAAAAATTTAGTTGGCAACATTTCCTGTTATTATTTCCGCTGCGCGTTTCCGCTGTGGCACTGTGGCATAGTGGCACGCACGTCCTGCCATGAGGTAGGAGTTTGGGCTCCCTCCGGGGCTCATCGGAGCATGTGGACTAGGAACCGGAACTGAGAAGGCAAGGACTCTGAGTCCTGCAGTGAAAAGGCAGAAGTTGCACTGCCTGTGACAGTTGTAGGCACGTCCTAGATTTGGGACACAGCAGATGTCAGTTGCACATTTCGCCAAAGGCAAATACTCTCATGTCCTCTGTCCAAGGAGAATGTTGCAATCAACTTTGACACACTGCCATGTATTAGTGTATGTGCCCGACATTGATTATCTTGTAGATGTTTGTTTGCATATAGAGCTGATGATTCCCCCAAGTCCTTGAGTGTGGGCGGCAATAAACCCGCTGAATAAATCTGCATGAGAGATCAGGAACTCTGTCACTTTTATGTGCCTCTGGCAAATGCTCCAGACTCCACACTCACAGGCTCGTAAAACTCCGAGGAAAGTGAAAATGTGGGTATCTGTTAATGGCCCAACTACTTAACATTATCAGCCAGCTAAGCCATTAATTAAAATTTAATTACTTGGAGTCATTTTCATAATAAATTCTAGGCTATTCAGCCCAGAAGGCACAAACACTCTTGAGGCCTCACCAATCTCGGCTTTTAGACAAAGCCTGAGGACATCTGTCATTTGCATTTGATTTCTAGCCAAGCCTTTGTTTTAATCCAAGCTAGCTAAAGGGGATTATCAAGTGCTGTACTCAGTGCTCCCTGAAGCTGTGGCTTTAAGGCCTCTATTTTGTGAACATCCTCTACCAGCTCTACTCGCGCGCAATTATCGGAATTAAATTAAAAGTTTTTGCGGCAACTGGCGACAGGCAATTGCAGTTGGCAGAAATCAACAGGCCGCAAAATTGTTTTATCTGCGTGGGAGTTGCTTCTGTGGTCGTGTTTAATGGTCCGGTTTCCGGTCCTGCTGGGCCACTGGAAATTGTTGCGAAATTCCGCGTTTTAATCCAACTCATTTGGCGCCCAAAACTACGGGCCCGGCTAATTGGTGCTAACTGGTTTTTGTGCAACCATTTTGCGGTCCACTAAGCTCATTTCTGCGAAAATGCTTCCCGGAAGAGTTTATCACACAGATTACTGCATTAAAGTTTGGACACAAAATAAAATTCTCCATAGTTCACAAATCGAATATAACTATTTTCTACTTCGCACAAATTCTAAAGAAAAACCATCTGTCAGAAACTTTACATTTCCGATACACAAAAAATATTATTAAGAAATAAGAAAGTCTGGCTCTGACATTAAATTTTCTTTACAGAAATAATATTTCTCTGGAAAATTTATTTTTCGCCCCTCAGGTTTTTCATTTCTTTGCTTTCTTTGTGCCACAAAAATTGCATTTAAAAGTAGTTTTCTAGGCAAGGTGAAGTGCATTTTCATATTTCGGCTTTGTCATTTGTTTACTTTGTAATAAAGGAATTTTAAATTGTATTTATAATTAAAAGAAGCATTTATTTGACAAATAATTTCATGAAATTGGTAAAAGGACCTCAAAAAATGAGTCCTTAGAGATAAACTCAAAGAAAAGGCATTGTGAATTCATAAATATGATTCACGGGAACTTTTTTACGCCTTTTGACAATTTAATTTCTTCCAAAGGACTCTGTAAACTTTTTAATGCTGCTGTAATTAAATTTAATTGGCTTCAAGCCCGTGGGTCGCACACATTTAACATTTCGCTCTTTATGTCATCGTCAACTAGGCGTATGCGTAATGGCATATCAAAGGAAACCTCGGCTACTTATACTCTTCCTTAGGTTGGCTTAGTATGGAAATTCAACAATTTATGGAAGAAAAGCATTTTTCTTCGAAAAGGATTTCAAGATTTTTTCTAGAAAATATTACATTAATTTTTTCCCATTAAACTTTAAAGGGCAAACGTGCCCGGAAAGTTTCCGAACAAACTCCACGGCCATAAGGGTATAAGCCAAAGTAAACAAAATCGAGCATACGCAGCGTGGGCGTAGGCGGCGAGTGAAAAGCTTTTACAACTCGGTTTAAATGCCAATTATTTATTACACTCGGCAATTTAATGTCGGCGAATTTCGGCGTGCAACTCAATTTGGGGCGCTCCTCATTATTAGCTGCCACAAAGCAAATTTCGGCATGCAAATTTTGTGCGCGCGGAAAATGCCATCCAAGTTAGAAAGAGACCCGTGCCCCGGAGCGAAAATGCTTTTAAACTTAACAAACGGAACTCGGGCTCCTCCTTGGCCTTTGCACTTTGTTTGTGATGTGTCATGTGAGTAATTTATGCGGCCCTCGTAAACGCACCACCCATCCTGATTGGCTTTATTGTGTGATACACCACATGGCTGCCAATCCACAGGCACTGCCACTGCCACTGCCGCACTTTGATTAACCGTAGCATGAGTGCCCTAAGGTCGGGCCAGTCAAGTCACTCAATATTGGATAACTTTTGCATACTGCACTCCAAGTCAAGTGCAATTGCCTTGAACTTGACCCCTAATCAATGATTTGGCAGCTATAATTTATAAATCGATACGAGACTCTACGGGCAATTGACTTTGTTATTTTGTTTGTTTTCAAAGGGACATGTGTCTGCCTTCTGCATTTCGCATTCTAAATTATTAAAGGATAGGTATTTTTACATACGAAAATATTTTCGAAAATCCAACCAGGTGTTCCCAGTCCCGAGAAGACTTTTGCCAAACGCTTAGATCCACGGTTTATTATTTTCAAAGTCTTTAAGCAAAAATATATTATAATCGATTTGTTGCGTGATGTGAATACTTCATAACTGGCAATTACCCCAATATTCCAAACCAAAAGCCGGGCAGGCCAAGAAGGTGGAAGCTATTTAGGTTTTTGGAAGCAGAAGGTGCGTGCCTGGCAGCCGGCCGAGCCATTAAAGTCAAAAATAATTTCAAATATCGATTAGTAACCAAAGTGGGCGCGGATATTGAATGAGGCAATGGACTCGCTTTATGGCAGTTGATTGCTTGTTTAGCTGACATTCTGAGTTTATCGAGCATCGTGATGTAACATAATGGGTATGCGTCTCCTCTTTAAATCAATACATTCTCCATTGTGTCGCGTAATAATTGAAATGCATGCCGATTCATTCATAGATTCACTCAGCAAACACACACTCGCATATTCACACACATTAACTATAAACGACCGCAATTAATTAAGGCAATTAAATTGCAATGTGCAACTGCAACTGAATACCAAGTGGCATCATATATGCGGCGGCTCACCACCTCCTCCTCCAATTCCGAGTGAACCCTCGCTGGCAGTAGTTATGTTTCCGCCGGCACTTTATTACCCATTACTTGTGCAGGTCAGAGGATTATTCTTCGAGGGTCTGGAGATTCTACCTCCGTTTTCTTGTAGATTAATTAAGCAAATATGCTTTGTGCTTTAGGTTAGTTCCTTTTCTGCTCTATTTTTGGAGCAATTTTAAAAAGTTTTCTGTCTCTAATTAGGACTCTAGAAGAACCTGTTTAAAGTTGTTTGTCTCAAGCATTTTTCCTTATTAACCTCTCCAATTTGCTTAAACAAGTTTCTAGGAATCTCCATTGTTTCCGAAAGCAGAGCAAAGCCTTTGGCAATTGGCGCCCCACGCACATTTTCATTTAATTCTCATTTCGGTTTCCCTTATTTTCCCACAACATTGTTCATTATTTGTGTATTTATAGACCAGTCTTTTTATAAATTAATTAGGCACGCGAAACCCGGGCTGTTTCGGCAATTAGGCGGGCAATCAGACGACCCGGCTAATGCTTCTTATTTTTGGCACCGGCAGGTGGTGAACAAGGATACACACCCATCTCAAAAGTACCGCCATGAATGAGACAGAGTGCGAGGATCTCATCAAATCTGTGAAATGGACGGAACCAGCCAACCTGATCTCCCTGGCCATACTCGAGTTTATCAACGTCCTGGTCATTGGCGGCAATTGTCTCGTCATCGCCGCCGTCTTCTGTTCCAACAAGCTGCGGAGTGTGACGAACTTCTTTATTGTCAACCTGGCAGTGGCCGACTTGCTGGTGGGTCTGGCGGTGCTTCCCTTCTCGGCCACCTGGGAGGTCTTTAAGGTAATTATAAATCAATATTTCATTCCGGCTGATGAGCTTACTGAGGTCGCTTTCCAGGTCTGGATTTTCGGCGATGTGTGGTGCCGCATTTGGCTGGCCGTCGACGTCTGGATGTGCACGGCATCGATCCTGAACCTGTGCGCCATATCCCTGGATCGCTATGTGGCGGTCACACGACCCGTCACCTACCCAAGCATCATGTCCACTAAGAAGGCCAAGTCCTTAATCGCCGGCATTTGGGTTCTCTCATTTGTTATTTGCTTTCCGCCGCTAGTCGGCTGGAAGGATCAAAAGGTAAGTGTCCAGGACACAACTGACCACGGGCCGGGTGCGATAAATGGCCGGAGGAAGTGCGGTGTGTCTCTGCCAACAAAATTGAAAGTCGGTTAACTGTTTTTAGCACGCTCCGACCTCAAGTCTCATAAAGAACAAAAGGGCCGGAGTGCCGGAGTTGTGTGTGTTTTTAGAGCCGCAAACTGTCGGGCTAAGCTCTTGGTTTTCTGCCCACTACCCACTGTCATTGACACCATTTTCGTGGGCTCGAAACTTTTTGGCCAACTGAGTCATTTGTGCCAAAATTGCCGTAAAACAAGACATGGGGCTTGTCCTTTTGTTTGGACATGGTACACGGGGCAGGCCCCCTAATTCTAATTTCAGCACCCAATCCCCTGGGATGATGATAATAATGATGTGTTATACATGGAAAGGCGGAGAATTTATGGGCTGGGGATAATCAGATCCGACAGAATAGCAAGAATAGCGACCCACCGGAGGCAGTTTGTGGCGCAGAGTGTTGGGCTTCAACGTAATGATTCCAGGGGCCTTTTTCAGCCCATAGCTGCACTCCACATTGTAAATTGTATCTCCCGGATAGTCCCTTCGATGGGGCATGCCCCGCAATTCCATTCACGACTGCACCCCGGCTGAGTGCAAGTGAATGGGCCACGTTTGAATGGCTGGCATTCAGCTCGTTTCCTGTAAGCCAGTAAGGCAGCAAACGTATTGAAACTCGGAATTATCGATTATTATTACGCTGCCATATTTCCACTTCGTGCGATTCAATTTCGATTTGGCTGCAGCCCGACGGAAAAGGATGCGAAGGCCCAACATGCCGGCACACACAGCAGTCGCGGCGGATCTGGATCAGAGCCGGAGTCCAGGGCTTTTGGCTTTTTGTTAATGCCACCTTTTTCGGTAATATTTATGCGCAACACGTCGGCGAATATCTCTGGCAATATAGCCCCTTTAAGTTGCATTTTTATTGGCTTTTTAGCCAAGTGAACACACGGAGTGGGGAGACACGCAAACGGAATCTTAATGGGATCCTTGTGATATCAAGTGTCATCCGATGATACCACTTTCGGTGTTTATCATTTCAGGCCGTTGTTCAGCCGACCTATTCGAGGGGAAACTATACGCTTTTCTACGCCACCACGATGTCCAGCACGGAGGATGGTCAACTAGAGTTAGATAGCATTAAGGAACAGGTGGAGGGGTCCTCGCCCCAGCCGCCGCAGATGTCACAGATGCCGCATGGCAACGCCTACAATCCCTACGATCCCGATTTCGCCCCTATCGACGGCTCTGCAGAGATTCATATCGCCGCCATTGGCTCGACCACGAGCACTTCGACTTCCTCTCCCATCACAACCACCGAAACGGAAATGGACTACGATCTGTTGAACTCGCCGCCCCAAAACAAGCCACAAACGATGTCCGGCAGCTGTCCCTGGAAGTGCGAACTGACGAACGATCGTGGGTATGTCCTGTACTCAGCCCTGGGCTCCTTCTACATACCCATGTTCGTGATGTTGTTCTTCTACTGGAGGATCTATCGGGCAGCCGTGCGCACCACCCGGGCCATCAACCAGGGCTTCAAGACCACCAAGGGTAAGTCCTGCAGCTACACTGCACCCTGCTCCACATTCGTAGTTAACCGAGAAAGTCACAAAACCCACAAATCTCATTTGGACACGATATGTTTGAACCTTGTCACCCACAATTTGTCCTAACTTGTGCGTAGCTAACAGTATGGTTTTGAAACTCATCCGTCTCTACCAACCAATATACATACATACATATAATATATACTCGTTCGAAAGTAATCACGTAGCTTAGTTCATTTTATTAAAGCTTTGATATCGATTGCTAAACCAGTTTTCAAATCTCTCAACGTGTAGTCAATAGTGTGACGTCCCGTTTGTCCCTTTTTATTTCTTTTGATTACCGAAAAGTGTACAGACTTACACCGAACATGTCAGACACCCTCACCACCTCGTTATTGTCCTGGCCCATGTCCTTGTCCTTGTCCCTGCCTCAGTCCTTGTCCTTGCTAGTCCCTTGTTAGTCCCTTTCTGATATGAATAAATTGTCGGAGAAGTAAATAACAATTCGCCCCGTACGTGTTTGTCCCTCGACCGAGCTAAGCAAATACTTGTATGAGGAACTGTATAAATCGACAGCGGCGGCAACAAAAAATAGACTATTCCAACTAAATTTACATTCATAAATAACTACTCATAAACCTCCGCACATGTAAGCCAACCAGCATACCATACATACTATACATTTATTGTCGGCATTCTGTTTTTGTGTTCTGCACATAAATAAACACGATAAATAACCTGGAAATGAGTAAAAATAAAAAATACTTAAAGTTATACATATGCATATACACATAGCGAGTGAAAATAACAGATCCGGATCTAATATAAGTCAACCAACCAACACCCTAAATCAAAAACTTTTAAACTCTGTACAAAACAGATAAACTCTAATTCCTTGTAATTAAAATCCCCCATAGAATTACTCAAATGAATGTCACTACAAATTAGCATCAGAAAAGTCCTAATTAATTCTAATTAGTTTAGTTTACCCATATAAGCGATACACACATAGTGTGATAAACAAGGCCCCTCCAAACAAAATTTGTGAATAATCTCTACCCTGAAAACCCACTTCCCCAAAGTCTGTTTAAAAACCTTTAAGATCATATACATTTTTTGAAATTATCGCAACATTATATCAGTCACATGCCACGCCGAAGAAGTCACGCATCATAATTAGCATTATTTTCCGTGATGGGCAAAAAACAAAAAATCGATGAATGCTGAGGAAGCACATCAAACAAATCGGCTTAGATAAAAAGGCGGCCAGGATTAAATAAGAGGGATTTTGCCATTAGAGCGGGCCAGGAAACATGAAAGAGGCTAAGAGACAGGCCACGAAAAAATGGGAGCTTGAGCTAGTAGCTTCCTTGTGGCGCCTTGTTTGCTGTCTTTGCAAATTTGTATTTTCTTGGGTTTTGTCATTTTAGGCCTCGATGATTCAACTACCAAGTCCCCGAGTCTCTTCGGTGACGGTGATAATCCCCTGGAACAGATTCTGTTTGAAGTTCGAGTGGTCGCATTAAACTGGCAATGGCATTGGGTGTTTATTTTAATATACTCGTATGTGGCCCATTACTCGGCCAGGGACGCAGCGCACTTTGTTCCGCGTGATCAGCTCATTGGGCACCCACTGCTGGAATATTCATATATCCATATTTTAGCTAACCCTGGGCACGCATTCGGGTGATAATATGCAGTGGCTCAGGCTCCCAAACGGGCCAACTACCGGGCCAACATCCGACCAAATCTGACTGCTTGACTGTCTGACTTCCGGGCTGACCGACTACTGACTTTATCCCGAAAATCAATAGCCAAGTTAGGTGGAAATCAATTCCATGCACTGAGAGAGTAAAGGGATTTTTAGAACAGTCCCAGTTTCCATATGGAATCCTCTTCCGAAAGGAGAATGCATTTCGAGCCAGAAGCTTAAGGTTTAATTCTGCCGTTGACATTCCTGGCCCGTTGCCTTGGCAGTTGTTTTTGTTTTGCCACCGTTGTGTCGTTAGTTGGCGCCATTTTGAGCACAAAGCTCAGATTTTTCCAGGAGGAGGCCACACCCACACCAAGGCCCACAACCACCACACCCCATGGCGTATGGCAGCCTTGAAATATGCTTTGTCTATATATATATTCACATACAAACTTATGGCCAAGTTCGTTATAGTTCTCCGCATATATGGGCCACTTGCATGTGCGTGCAAAAAGCCTGAAAACGCCCCGTGACACAATGCGGGTAGTGCTGATGCTTTTTGCCTAGTTTTTTGATTTTTTTTGGAGGTAGAGCCCCTTGCCCACGCGTCATTTTAGTGGCTTTTGAAGGTAATCAAGTTTCAAGTTCAAAACTTGGCCGAGGTTCACGGCAGAGACCGCCTCGGAAGAATGTGTGTGAACGTGGACGTGGACCTTCTATGTTATTGTTGGACGGGAGGCTTTAGAAATTTGTGAAAATCGTGTGGTGGCCCTGGCCCTGTGTCAAGAGCAAACTTTTGTGAGAGAGCTGCCGCTGGCAGTCTTGCTCTTGACTTGGAGCCACTTGTCTCCTGTCCCGACCAGGCCAACAGGCCACCAGGCGACCAGTCGGTCACCGTTGAAAGGTCAACAATTACCCGCATGCATGTCCACGAATGATGTCACTTTGGAGGCCAATTGCCTCGCCACCAAACTATTTAATCGCGATTAAATGCCTTTCAATTAAAAGCCCACAAAAATGTCGCGGCCGAATCGCAAATTACAATTAAATTGAACCACGACCGCAACAGTGTCAGGAGGGTGGAGGACTTCATATGAGATATGCGATGTGGGATTATCCTTAGTGGCAAACAAAAGTTACACGCGCCCATTTATTTGAATAAGAACGCTGCTGGAACCGAAATATCCGCAGGCTTTTCCATATCTTTCATAATATTTTCTTGCTTTATTTCTTCTTATTTACATACATTAGGATATTTTCGTTATATATTTGTATACAAATTGTTTGTTTAACTTTCATTTTTCGGGGGCATCCGAGGCGAAAAAATCAATAGTGTACCCTTTTTTATTTACAGTTCTCGGTATATGCCGGGCCTTCTGTTTGTCTTTCCTTCTGGCAAACAATATTGCTTCTCGATGGGTTTAATATGGTTTATGCAAATGAAAATGTTTTTCTTTTCGCCTTGAATTAAGATAATTCCGGTGAAAGTTGGGTTTACTGACGCAATACATATGATACTTCGAGGAGAACACATGGAAAAATAGAAATTGACAGAGTAGAGAAAAAAACAGGAAAAATAATTGCCTAGTCTATTAATACTCGACTGTAACCAATTCTAGGAAATCGATTGATACAATTAATTTACTGAAAATTGTCAGGACAGAAGGCGACATTTCTCCTACCATTTCAACGTCATTTGCGACCCACATAGCCCCAGTTCCCCATTGGTCCTCCACCCCACCATTGAATAACTAAAATAAAATTAGGAAAACCAAGCCGTTCCTGGGGAGTAACCAAACAGACAAATTAAATTGTTACCCCAAAACTAAAAATATCTATAAAATGTGAATAAAACCCAATTGCCCTGTTTCTAAAATCTAGATTTAGTCAACCAAATTAAATACCAAATGAAAATTAATTAACTTTAATCATTTGATCAACTCCAAATGTTTTGTACGTTTTTTCTTGTACTAGATTTTGATAATGGAATGAGTCCCTTTTTCTCTCTCTATAAATAATATTGAATATTTGTACTTGCGAACGTAGAAATACATTTTATTATATTACTTGTAAGTTTATTCCACCTTTTTCCAATCTGAATGTAACAGTTCGTAGTTAGTCATTCGCTCTCTGTGAAGTGTGTGAAGTCGATCAACATATGTTTTATTACCCTAATCAAGAAGAATTGTTTCTTGCATCTGATTTTTAACGAATGTATCTAACTACTCACCTCAAAACAAGATACGAAGTAAGCCACAAGTCGTCCATCTAACCACATGTCCATGTACTATACAAGCTGAATGTCTACATACATGTTTCCACACTCGCAATTCCCACCGATCTTAACCAGAGTTGGGCCACCAGAGTGGCAGCCGCGAACGCTGAAACCATTGTTTCCACATCCTCCCAACCACTAATTGCAGGCAGTCCCCGCGAGTCGGGCAACAACCGCGTCGACGAGTCCCAGCTTATCCTGCGCATCCACCGCGGACGCCCCTGCTCCACGCCCCAGCGCACCCCGCTCTCCGTTCACTCGATGTCCTCGACCCTCAGCATGAACAGCAACGGGGGCGGGGGCGGAGGAGGCACTACGGTCCCCACCTCTGGGGAGGATCACCATCAGAGCGGCACCCCCAAGCGCGCCACTTCAATGCGGGTTTGCCGGCAGCGGCACGAGAAGGTGGCCATCAAGGTCTCGTTTCCCTCGTCCGAAAACGTCCTAGACTCAAGCCACGTCCAGCCGCCACACACGCCCCATTACGCGGTCATCAGCAGCGCCAACGGCGGCCGGAGAGCCTCCTTCAAGACGAGTCTCTTCGACATTGGCGAAACCACCTTCAACCTGGACGCGGCGAACCAGACGGGAGCAGGCGACCTGGAGACGGGCCACTCGACCACCTCGCTGGCGGCCAAGAAGAGGGCCGGAAAGCGCAGCGCCAAGATCCAAGTGAAGCGCTTTCGCATGGAGACCAAGGCGGCCAAGACCCTGGCCATCATCGTGGGCGGATTCATAGTGTGCTGGCTGCCGTTCTTCACGATGTACTTGATCCGGGCCTTCTGCGATCACTGCATCCAGCCGACGGTGTTCTCGGTGCTCTTCTGGCTGGGCTACTGCAACTCGGCCATCAATCCGGTGATCTACGCCCTGTTCTCGCACGAGTTCCGGATCGCCTTCAAGCGCATCGTCTGCCGGTGTGTGTGCACCCGCAGCGGATTCCGGGCATCGGAGAATTTCCAGATGATAGCCGCCCGGGCTCTGATGGCGCCGGCTACGTTCCACAAGACCATATCCGGCTGCTCGGACGACGGCGACGGCGTGGACTTTAGCTGACTAATCGGCAGCTACGAGCCGGGTCCGTTGCAACGCACCGCCTCCCTGCCGCAGGAGGGCGAGGTCGTTGAATCCGGTTCGGGGTCGGGACGACGCATCCGACGGGGAGGCTTCTGCAAGGGTCGCGTCCTCTAGGGGACAGTGCATTTCCGCTTTTTGATACGTTTCTTTTTAAAGCACCGCTACAAGCCCACTTCTCAAGTATCAAAAAAAAAAAAACAAAAACTGTCAGTATTCGCATTGAACGACGTTGTAACTGTATGGCAATAATTTTCATGTATTTACCTTAGATCTAAGGCTATGTTAAACTACTTATACTTACCTTATATGAGATACAGATACCAATACCGATACAGATCACTATGAGATACACAATCTAGATACGTAAGCCAGTTGTTTTCAGTTTACAATGTTGTGTGTAAAAAATGTAAATGTTTTAGGCGGCATATTAGTTAAAACCAGAATTATATAAATGAATGTATATGTATGTGTGTATAGCAGCTGCGTAAGTCGGTTGCATTTTCAATAAAACTTAAATCAAACAACAAGCAACAAACAACAAAAGCAAACAAGAAGCAATCAATGCCAAAAACATGTGCCGACCATGAAGACAAAAATTGGCAAGGACATTGGCAGCATTCCAAATTGTCTAATCACAATTACCTGGACAGTCGAACCTACGCTTTTTGTTTTTATTTGTTTTTTTGAGGAAGAACTTTGCTTTAATCTCAGAGCTTTCAAACATTTTTCTATTAAACTCTCTACTAAAAGCATTGCGGAAAACTTAATAGAGTTTTATACAGATTTGTAGCAGCTCTTTGTCTTTTAAAGATATATAAATTATAGATATTGTTCTGGCCACTTAAATCATAATCATCATAAAGCCTCGTTGCTGGCCACTCTCGTGTTGAGTCAATATTAAATTCTGCTACCAAATAATGCATATGGTCCTTAAACCTCGGCTCGACAATAAGCCAGCATTTAATGCGGCTCTCTGGCAAAAAGCAACAGCTTCGGTAATGGCAGGAGTAAAATATTGCATTACTGTGCCGATTATTCATTACTCGTCGCGGGTCGAGTAATGAAAATGTATTCAGCAGTTAAACGTGCGTATGAGTAATAAATGCAAAGCAACTGGAGGCAGTGAGCATATGCCAAGCGAGAGAGGATAGGAGGAACAAGGATTATGCAAATGTGTGTGTTAATGAAATGAAGTTCGCTTTGAAGGCGGCTTAAAGGCGACTACACTTCTTGGCGCGACGGGATGGGGGATCAGGGCCAAAAAAAATGTAGCAGGGAGGAATACGACAACACCGAGTGCTTGTCGCGTTTATGGCGAAACATTTGCATAATTACGCGTTTAATTTGCTAAAGTGCAGGCAGGCTGGCAGAGGGCCAGCTCCGAGAAGTAGGCAGTGGATTCTGAGTGCGTGCGTTGCGTGCACCAGGGCGTATGAGCGATGTTCCACGATACAGAAACATACTACAGAAAATAACAAGCAATAAACTACACCACGGACTTTTAATTTCCTTTGTTTTGATTTAGTTTCTAGGACGAGGACCTAACACCCGAAACTCTTGTTTTTGTTGTCCTTGCAACAGGTTCAAAAAATAATTATGCTTATGAATTAGTTGGGAAGGCCTTTAAGACATTTAAGGATGATAGGAAGTTAGGAACAAAACCGGTTAGCATTCGAAACCTCTGTTACAAAGTAGACTGAAAACTAATATCTTAATCTTTTCCTCCCAACTCTTAGGATCCAAGGGCATTGGGTCCCGATTCGAAGAGCAACGCCTGACGCTGCGCATTCACAGAGGACGCGGATCCAATCAGCAGGACTCGATGCACAGCAACGGCAGCACTCAGAGCACCACCACCACACTGGGGACTCCGTCGCCGGAACGGCTCTCCAAGTACGCCACCCGGCGGATGCACCACCACGACAAAATCAAAATCTCCGTCTCCTACCCGTCCAGCGAAAACATAAGCGAGTTGGCCGGACACGGAGATGAGCGCCACGAGCGTCGTCCTTCCGGAAATGCCCTATTTGCCGTACATTACAATGGAGCCAATGGACGCGAGTCAACTGAATCGCATCTCTATCGACAGCAGCAGCAACACGGCGGAGCCAGTTCCTGCTACCTGCAGGTGGGGAAGGCCTTGCCGGAACTGGCCAGGCGGCAGAGCAACACCAGTGAGGGCGGTGGCGGAGGAGGGGGATCCGGTCACAGGCCGGCCAACAAGAAGATGGGCCGGCGAAACATCAAGGCCCAGGTGAAGCGCTTCCGAATGGAGACGAAGGCGGCGAAAACCCTAGCCATCATTGTCGGAATGTTTATCTTCTGCTGGTGCCCCTTTTTCACGATGTACATCATCCGGCCATTCTGCCAGGACTGCATCGACCCTCTGCTCTTCTCCGTGCTCTTCTGGCTGGGCTACTGCAATTCGGCGGTGAATCCCATGATCTATGCCCTCTTTTCCAAGGACTTTCGCTTTGCCTTCAAGAGGATCATCTGCCGATGCTTCTGTTCGCGGCAGTCGGTTTCCTTGAAGAGTTCCCGTCGCGGCTCCGACATGTCCGCCATCCGGATCCGGGCCAGGACGCCGAGCATCACGCCCAGTGCAGCAGCCCATAGTTTCGGGGACGAGAGCGAACTGCACCACTCCGAGATGAGCAACGATCCCAGGTGACGTTCGTTCGGGCCCAGCTCAAGCTCTCAGAGTAGCTTGGGCGGGTTGCGGAAGACGAGCCTGAAGGTGCCCGTCTACGAGATTTGCCATCCGCTGGTCATGGAAACGGCCTGCTACTCCTACGTCGAGGCCACCGGCGATGCTTCTACCTCCGCCTCAGTTGGTGGCACCGGGGGAGGGAGCGGCTCAAAGCGGACGCAGTTGTAGCCGCGGGAGCTGCTGGCGCTGCGAAGTCTGGGGGGCGGAACGCATGTTCCGCCGGCGCGGCGACCAAGACGCATGGTCCGGGTGGAGTACAGCGATGCCAGGGTCTAGAAGGATATCGAAGGAAGCAAAAGGGTACAGTGTCAAGCTGAGGAAAGAAAACATTTCTGATAAATGCTGTATATTTTCAAAAACTATTTTTTCTCAGTGGAAGCACTTATTCCTACTTCGAAGGAAAAAAAGTCTCCTTCCACTGGCAGTCAACAGAAAACCGAAACAATCCTTTGACATGACAGGATGTGGGAAGCGAAGTGATTGCTTAAGGATTTGGCTTTGAAGCCAAAACATTTGTACATAGAATCAGACATCAGGTAACCGAGTCCTGTATCGATTTATACTTTTAGCTAAAATTGCCAAAAGGACGAGGCGAACTGTGTATTAGAAGAAATAGAAGAGAGAAATAGAAGAGAAAGTCTAGCTAGGATAACGCTGGCATTTGAGAGTTGTACCTTTAAACTTCCGTATTAATTATTATATATCTGGTTGTTAACACTAAGCAGAAACCAAATTGTTGCTAAACGCAAATAAAACATTACCCAGTGCTAAAAAGTAAAAATAAAAAAGTTGTAACAAAAACAAAAACTCGTACATAGTAAATGTTAATGTTGTTCTGATGAATATGCATACCCACTACCTATCGGTGTCACAAAAATTCATGTTAAATGCAATAAAACGAGTCCTTGCCTACCAAACATAATGTATACATAATATATACGAATATACGATCCTCAAGTTAAACGTTTTCTGTGCTACAAAATACAACAAACGGAGTTTTATTTATTCGGTGCCTTAAAGAGTGGTAGTTCCCTCGTGGAGGTCGCCCCTTGGAGGGTAAAACGGACAACGGGGTTTTAATTAAGCGGAAGTACTCGCAGCGCAACAAAGTCGCCTCCGAAACAAAGAAGGTAAGTGCGATAAAAAGAGTTGCAGCATAAAGGAATGGCTTTGGCTACAAAGGCCAAATTAAAAGCCGGAACGCTCGAGGCACTTCCGCTAACTGAATTAAAGGCTCAAGCCGAGTGCCGAGTGCCGCGCATAACTTGAAAGGACTCTGGAATTGATGTGTACGTCTTGGTGTGTGTGTACCCTGAACACATTCCGTTTGATTACTCCCTCATGCGGCCACATAAAATAGACAAACACGAAATGAGTCGGCTGGCAACTAATTTATGCCTAGCCCAGAGATTCCCCGCTTCCGACTAACTAAGCAACTCCCCCAGAAATCCAATTTATTTGCTTCACTTTCCGCTACAAGAAAGTGTTTTATTTGATGGAAATCAATTGATAAAACGCATTAACTTGGAGCTAAAGTTTCAGGGCCCCCACCCAGCCACCAGCCCCATAAAACCGGCATTCAAGAAGGGCCAGGACGAGGCCATCACCGTCAGATAACGTAGACTGCCACGGAGCCAAAGTTTGGCTATTAACCTAAACAAGATATCGGAAGTTCCAACCAGGCGCTTGCCAAGATTCATTCTGCTGGCTTAATTAATCAAATTTAATTTAATTTTCGATAAAATTCCAAGGCGTCCCACGAAAACAATTTCAATTTCAGCATGCACCTTGTTTTGGCCAATTTGCCATGAAAGTTTGCCATGAAATACCATGTATACACGAACAATTTGCATAAATGTGGCTATAAACTGAGTGCCCTGAAAGCAGGTACATAGTTAATAATTGTACCACAAAATGGAAAAGTACGAACAAACTGGTTAGACGGCATAAATTACAAAAGTTTCTGATTTCATTATGCTAGGACCCCACACATTAACAGAAAACAAACAGCTAGGACCAAAACAATCCATTCTGGACTCCAGACTACGTTTGGGAGCCTTTAAAAATCGGATCCTGGGGAATCCTTAAAGGAATTTAAGTGCAAAGTTCACATGCGAACGGCTATCCGGCTAAGAATCAAATGGGGCAGTGAAGCATGCCCCGTGCTCTGTCTGAGTGCTCTTGGCTTTGAGTTCAGGCCTTTGTTTGTTCCTCAAGGTACGCCTTCACATAGCTGGGCATGCTGGACGGCGGAAAACCGAAGCTATCTCGGCCTGAAAGTCCGGGAATCGATAGAACAAACATTCCTCGCTCAGTCCCGAAAAAACAGCCTTGGGAGGTAGTTTGTTTTGACTGGAGATTTCAAGTTTTCTGCATTCTGATTTTAAACTGTACCTGCCATTCAATTGTCTCATTCCGAGAGCAGTGTTGCTTAGGGGATTTGCATAAATTCGTTTCAGAAAATTTGTTTAAAATTATGGTCAAGTCTTCGAAGAATTTCCAGAAATTCGGTTTGTCTGAAACTTACTTAAATTTCTTACAACTGGTGTCGAATTGCATTCCAAGAAAATACAATTATCATTTAAACACACATTGAAGTTTAAAAGTTTAAAGTGGCAACATTTGTGATAATCCTTTTCTAGTTTCTTAAACATTTTACACATATGCTCAGTCTAAGTGCATTTGGCTTTAAGTTCAAGCCTTGATTCAAACCATAGACGGGGTATGAGTTTAAACCTTTGTTTGCTCCTAAAGTAACGCCTCCACATAGATGGTCATGCCGGACGTCGAAAAACAGCTATCTAAAAGCCTGAAAGTTCGTGAACCGATAAAGCAAACATTCCTCGCTTAGCCCACAAAAAACAGTCAAAGGTAATAGTTTGTTTTGACTGGATATTTCAAGTTTTCTGTATTTTGATTTACTTGCATCATAGGGCTTATTGCTTTGAATCTAGAGTCTAGACCCTTCTTTTTTTTTAAAGTAACGCCCCCACATACATAGATGGTCATGCCGGACGGCAAAAAACAAGAGTATACAACCCTCACCCTCACTCAGTCCAGAAAAAACAATCAAAGGCTATAGTTTTTTATGACTTTTAAGTGTTAAGATTTCAAGTGTTTTTCATTTCGATTTAATCTGTATACCTGTCATTCATTCCTGGAACGGTGTCGCTTAAGAGATTTGCATAAATTTGGTTTTAAAAATTTGTTGAAAATTATGGCCATTTTCAGCTATTCAACGTTTTTAGAAAATACACCTCTGTTTACTTAAAATGTACTTAAAATTTACTTGAATTTCTTACAATTGATGTTGAATTGCATTTGAAGAAAATAAAATCATCATTTAAGCACACATTTCAGTTTCAAAGTTTAAAGTGGCACAACATTTGCGAAGCTCCTTCTCCTTCTGAAACTTTTCCTTACAAAGTTCGTGTTAAAGCAACTACAGTTTCTAACAGACATAAGGTTTTTCTTGATATTCTTTATTTTTATTTTGTCATGGCCTGAGGCTTCTTAAATTTTTGCATCAACCACTGTCAAAAACAACAATAGCCCGCAGCCAACGGAGACAAAAAGTCAGCTTGCAAAACTATAAAGCAGCTTGACAAATGGAGCGGAAATAAAAATATAAGTACAATTTTTCTCAGATCAGGAAGACAAGGAGGAGAGACGTTTTCAAGCAGGCACAAGACAGGACAAATAAGTTCCAAGGAGCCGGGGAACAAAAAAAAAACGTGAAGACAGCTTAGCGAGCTGCCAGCTCAGCGAACTGTTTACACACTATACTCGCAGGGATTCGCAAGGATTCACAAGGATTCGCAGGGGCAAAGTTTGCGCTTCGACCAGTCGAGAAATGTATCGAATTGTTATCTCAACCAACGATTCAGGGCTTAAAGCAACTGCTGCCTCCTCTTTGTTAACTGCAAAAGTTTTTGGCAAGTTGTTAGTTAACATTTACGATAATTCGAAAAACTTACAAAAGGAAAGCGAAGGAATTACTTTATGTTATGTAATGATGTTCAAAGCCCACGACCACGTCGTAAATGAACATTAAATGGCCTTTTTCTTTAAATCGAAAGCGGTTTGTCCAACGACTCTAACTCTTTTCAATCAGCTCCACCCATGTCAGGATATTATTGGCTTTCCTTTGGGGCACCGCACACGCACATAATTGAGGGTCCGGGACACGCCTCCCACTGCGGTTGTTTCTTGTTATTCTATTATATATTTTTTTTCGTTTTCCTGTTTTGTAAGACCCCCTGCCACAGGCTGGCCCAGGCCGAGTGGTGACAATTTGCGCAACGCGTTAATTCCATTAATTTACGCCTAATTGTTATGGCCGCCTGAAGTGCAATCAACGAACGGACCCACAGGCGAGCGTTTTCTTTCAGAAAAAAAAGAAAGGCATACTTGTACACCCAGCACGCACACACGGGCTTTAAGAAAAAGGCACAAAAAACCCAAAACAATTTTTGCAACAGCCATCCACCCAAACACATCCCGTGGGGCAAGAGTCCAGCCGTGGTGCGTTTAACGAACAAGCCAACGAGCCGTGCCATTCGCAGGACCTTGTGCGGTGGCATTGCTGTCAGGAACCTGCCACCTGCCACTTACCACCTGGCCATTTTGTAGTTCAATAACCCATTTCCCCGCCAACGAAAAACGAAAAAATGACGCCAAGAATTTCAAGTTAGACTTTGCGCTGAAGCAGCTCAATCCACAAAAATGGCAAACAATTTGCTTTTATGGCAAAACAAAAACACAGAAAAACGCTCCAAGTCAGGACATTTTGCCTGCCTCCTTGGTCTCCTTAAAGGACTCACAGCCGATTTCCGCAATCGACTTTTTGCTTTTTGCCAGTTTTGCTTTTTTTTTACTTTTTCCAGATGCGGACTCGTGTCACTTGATAAGTTGTTTGGTTATTGTTGCCAATAATTTGTTGACGGAAGCAGACGTTCGGCTCGATTCAATAACTTATTTTGCTGAATTCAATTATGATCCGCCCGAATTCCGACCGAACTAATCACAGACTGACACTAGATTAGATCTTTGATTTGGTAAGGTTAAGGAACATCCGGATTCCAGATTCCGGATTTCGGACTAAGTACACAAAATGTTAAGTATCGCTTGGGGCTGGCTAGGAAAGGAAACCAACTTATAGCAGTCTAAATTACCAAGAAAAAGAACGGAAAAGAATACAAAAGTTTTTCTCATCCAATTAGCTTAGTGACCCCGAGCACTTTGTGTAAACAAAGATGAAGTTAAGCCAAAG